ATATACAATTTGCAGGGAACCACACCACACACACGACACACACAGCGAACACAACATATGTACAATCCAATGTGCAAGGAACACACCACCCACACAACACACAATGAACCTAACATGCGAAGAAAAAAAAATTCTCTTTTTTTTCGGCATCACAAGAGTCTGCGCATTCTTGCGCGCGTCCTTGCAGCAGGCCCGTCACACAGGGCAACCCCGGATGGCGGACTGTCGGGTGGCAACCGTCCCGTCTCCGAGTGAGTCTCCTTTTTGATGCCGCGAGACCCTCGGCATCCCCAGGAGGGGGTTATCGGGCGTGAGCCCGTCACTCCTGATGCACCTGGGGGGTGGCACAAGCCGGCAACGCATTAGGTGAGAGCAACCGAGACGGACCCAGTGAGTCGGTCGACTCCTCCTCCCCATGTTTGGCCCACGCGTGTGGTGGAAAGTGGGAATTGTACACGCAACGAAGGGGTTTGATGATTCATGGAGGGGTTGCACAAACCACAGCCGCCCGGCTTCCACCCATTTGATGCGTTACGCACCTGCCGGCCAGCAAAACCGTCAACCACCCACAGGTGCCCCGTCAAACGGCCGCACCAGTTTAGAGGATGGTTGCAAGTGGCACCTAGTGGACAGTGCAAGCCATGCCGTGTCCCCGGCCTTCCACTGCGCAGACGTGTGGCCCGACCCAGTCTGAGCCTCTCGTTAGGCTTTCTGACGGAAGGTCAGAATTTTGGCATGGCCCGCATCCCGTGCCTCCGCTAATTTAGCAAGATTAAATTTAACATGGTCGGCCAATTTAGTTTGTAACCCTTGGCGGCGCGGGGGATCCTGCAGCTTGGGCCCGAACAGGGGCGGGTCGATGTGGTTCGGCGCCATACATGAAAAAGAAGTGGGAAAATCCCGTTGCCGCATGGGGGGCCATTCGGTAATGCTGCCAAGACCCCTTGAATTTGCAGGTCCCAATCAGTCTGTGAGTCCGAAACCTGCTGTGACAACATCGACGTGATGGTTCGATGCAGACGCTCGACCATCCCGTCAGTTTGCGGGTGATACGGGGAGGTACGAGCTCACAGACTTGTTGGAGTAGTTTTCCGGAAAAATTTTTGCCCTGGTCGGTCAGCAGCCGCTCCGGAGCACCTTTGTCCAGGACGTATCCCTGGACAAAGGCCTCCACGATGGCTGCTGCCGACTGGTTGGCAAGGGGCCAGGCCATAGGCCAGCATGTAAAGTATTCCACACCAGTCAACAAATATCTATTGCCCCTGGGGGTGGCGGGGAATGGGCCCAGAATATCCAGCGCGACAAGCTCGTTGACTCTTGAGACTTTGATTGATTGCAAAGGCGGGTTAGACTCCCGTGCTGGTGGTTTCCGTTGCGCACACTGAGGGCATGATCCCAACAAATCCCCTGACATCCCTCGTCATGCCTGGCCAAAAAAAATCAAGCTGGAGCAAGGCGAGGGTCTTTTGGGGTCCCCAGGGTATAGAAGGCCGCTCATGAGCGGACCCACACCACCTACCGCCGCAACCTAGAAGGGCGGTGTTCGATGGGACAGTCCGTCCAATGCATTAGCAGACGCCTGGGAGCCATTTCCCATGAGTCGGCATCAACCCCTCCATCCGCCGAGCACCGCCGACCGACGATCTGCAACGCGAGGAGGGAGGTATCCTCCATCTGGAAGGCGCCTCCCATTCAGTGACAGGCAACCCCAACAGGGATCTTTTCCCTGTTGTGCGATTCGAATTCGTCAGTCGACGTTGCGTCGTCGGCGCCGCCAAGACCGGAACGGATATCTCCCCCGGAGGCCTGCAACGTCCCGACCCCAGGAGGCATGCGCATTCGGGAGTGGTTGGCCATGCGCGACAGAGCGTCCGCATTGTGTGGCGAACGCCCTTACGGTACGTAGTTTCAAAATCAAAGTCCTGGAGAATCTCCAACCATCGAGATAATTGTCCCGATGGTTGTTGAACTCGCAGGGCGTACTGTAGTGCCGCATGATCTGTGCTGACGGTGAAACGCCGACCGTACAGATATGGGCGATACTGTTGGATGAAATAGACAATTGCCAACAGTTCCCGACGGGTGACACAATATCTTTGCTCCGCTGGAGACAACACCCGACTACCGTACGCGACTACCCGTTCTACGCCGTCAACCACCTGGGAAAGCACGCCCCCAATACCCGTGTTGCTCACATCGGTGTCGAGCAAAAAGGGTTTTGAAAAATCGGGGTAAACCAAGGGAGGAGCTTTTACCAGAGCGTCCCAAAGGGAGCGGAAAGCAGCCTCCTCCTCCTGTCCCCAATGAAACCGAACCCCCTTTGACATCAAAGCGTGTAGGGGTTTCGCAATCGTCACAAAATCCGCGACAAACCGTCGGTAATACGACGCGAATCCAACGAAACTCCTGACCTCTCCCACAGAGGTGGGAGTCGGCCAGGAGCTGACGCACTGCGTTTTGGCGGGATCGGTAGCAATACCTGAGCGCCCGACGATATGTCCCAAATAACGCACAGATTCACGTAACAGATGACATTTTTGGGGTTTTAAACTTCAAATTAGCAGCCCGCATTTTGAGGAAAACCGCCCACAACCTCTGGAGATGTTCGTCAAATGTTTTACTAAGACGATAACGTCATCCAAATAAATCAAACACGAGTCCCATTGCAATCCAGCCAAAACCAATTCCATCAATCGCTGGAAAGTTGCCGGCGCTGAGTGGAGTCCCATCGGCAACCGGTTGAATTGGAACAGGCCGTGCAGTGTACGGAATGCAGTTTTAGGCTTTTGAATCATCGTCCAGAGGAAGCTGCCAGAATCCCGAAAGCAAATCCAATGTGGAGAAGAATCGCGCTCCCCGCCAAGGCGTCAAGCGATTTGTCCATCCGTGGGAGCGGGTATGCGTCGGCAAACCGAAATTTTGTTAAGGCGACGAAAATCGATGCAAAACCGCAACGAACCGTCCTGTTTCTTAACTAGAACGATCGGCGCTCCCCAAGGGCTGGTGGAAGGAGAAATGATGTCGGCGGCTAACATGTCATCCACAGCCGATTTGACATGGTCCTTTTCGGCGGGACTTAACTGAAAAGGATTCTGGCGTATTGGCGCGCTGTCACCTGTATCAATATGGTGACGCAGCAGATGAGTGCAGCCCAAATCGTATTTGTCCCCGACTGAAAACGTCGGAAAATTCCCGCAGTAGTGTTTTAAGTTGTTGACGCTCTGAATTTGACAGGTCCGTCGGTCCCGCACAAAGCGCCTCGAGCCACCCTTCATCGCTGTCCGAATGTGGTCGCGGCGCAGGGACAGCGGTGACGTGATTCGCGACGGGTTCCTCACAGGGCACCGGCGTTGCGTGAGCAAGCACGGTCCCCTGTGGGACCACCACCGTCTGCGAGCCCACATTGAGGACCGCGATGAAGGGGTCTCCGTCCCCTCTTACTATGGTCTGGGCCGGAAGTAAATGAGGTCCACTAACCCTAGACGGCCCCAGCAGAACCCCTTGGGCCCCAATGCCCTTAGCGAAGGGCCGCCGAAGTTTCAAAGGAATCAACATTTGTGCCCCCGGAGGAACGCACACCGTTCTATCTACGAACGCCGGCACCGTCACGAACGCCGTTCGACTCCTAACGGGGGATGGCAGAAACGCCATGCGTCGGCCCGATGGGAGCTCAATGCATCCCTGGTCGATTAATATCCTAATCGGTATTTTGGCCAGGAAGTCCGTCCCCAGCAGGCACGGAACCGCCAGCGAGGATGAAACAAAAATCGGCCCAGACAATTTAATATCCCCGATACAAATTTGGGCTCGAATTTGTCCAATGATGCCAAGTGAGCCTCCATTAGCAGCATAGAATGGCACGTTAACGGGCATCAAAGGACAGCTCTGGACAGGGAGAATATTGTAAATTAACTCCGAAATAATAGTCGCCGATGCTCCCGTATCGACCAGGATGCGCACCTCAACCCCGTCGATGTGCCCCACAACGGCAGACGACCCCGACGATGTGGCTAGAACGCGATGGGCCAACACGGACCACTGGCCGGGTTCGATATGAGTACCCAGAGTGGTGCGTGTTGGTGCGATGGTGCGCGATATCGGCCCCCCATTCGCTGCGGTGTTTGAGTGTGTGACGGGCGTGTGCGTGGGCCAAACATGAGGGGTGCCGCGACTCGCCGGGTTATGATGGTGGAGCTTGTGACGAGGGCCGGCGTCCCGTTGAGGTGTCGTCCCGCGCTGCTGAGGAGAGCGGCACCCCGAGGCGACATGGCCCCGGATGCCGCAGTTGTAACAGCGCGGGAGCGCTGGCGACGACGATGGATGGTTGAGATGGCTTGAACCGCCCCGGTCCGCCCGTACTCCCGCTCCCTGCTGCCGTTGATGGTCGATGGCGCAAATCTCTTCCGCCGGGAGGGTGGCTGCAGCGACGGCACGCCCGCTCGCCGCCTTGCTGGCCTTCCGTCGTTGTGAGCACAGGTTTGCGTGGAGGAGTCGGGCCGCTTGGAGGGAGCACATCTCTGCGTCGTCCTGTGCGACGATGACGATATCTAAGTCGTCCGCCAGCAGGAGTATCTTCTCCGTAACCATGGCGTCGACACCTTCGTTGTCCATCCGTGGAAAAGCCGCCTTTGCCAGTGCCAGGAGGCTTGTGCGGTACGCCAGGGGCGACTCCTTTGCCCCCCGCTGGCGATCGTAAAAGAGTTGCCGACAGTCCGACGGCGGACCGTATACTGCAGACAGCACCTGCATCGCCTTCTGCAGCGTGGAGCGCCTCTCCTTCGGTGCCGATGTTAGAGTGGCGAGGGCGTCGCTGTCGAGGAGTGCCGGCAGCGCGCGGAGAGCCTCGGCGTCCGTCCACTGCGCCATCTCCTGGTGAGCGAGGAAGCGCCGCTGGAAGCCGCCCCAGTCGCCTTCCTCGCCCACAAATTCTTTGAGTGGAGGTAGTCGCTGATGTAAGGCAGCGGCTGCCGCGGAAGATCGCACTCCCTCGTCCCCCTCACCCGGCTCTGCCTCGGCGCGAACAACCGATGGCATCGCCGGTCGCACCCGTGGTGACGTTCCGTCCGTTGGTGATGACGCGGCAGGTACTGTACTCCCGCCGTTGGACGCGATGCTCAGACCAGCCACGCCCTCAACAGCAGCTGCGGCGATGGCGGGATTTTCAAAGCGGTGCTCCATCGAAATGACGGGAAGGCGCTGTGGTCGTCGGCTGCCGTCGCCCCGTGGCGGTCCAGCAGCCCCCAGCTGTGTGATGCAGTCCAGCATGGCGGCAGCGGCGTACAGCAGCTCCGCCAGCTTAGCGTGCGCCTGCCTCAGCCCCTCTGTCGACGGCTCCCCATTCTCCTGTTGCCGCGGTGTGGACGCCTCGGGCCCCGACTGCTCTGTGCTTTCTTCAGGCATCCCGGGCTCCCCGACTGCAACGGTGTCCTCCCCCTCCGGTACCCTGACTCGAGCTGTCCGGCGCGTGTCCATGTTCGTAGATTTTTACTTCTGACACCAGATGTAGTAGAGTTCACGACTCTTGGACGCCGGAGTTGGAGGCACACGGGTTTATTACACGCAGCACGGTTGTGACATACAACACTAGAGGGGGGTGTCGGCCCCCTCACCCAGCTAGCTGGGGATACACGCGCTAGCTACTTCTAGCCTGCCTCCTAGTCCTCCTCTAACGGGCTAGGGGAGGCTGTCTGGCCCGACACTGGTAAGTCGGGCCCGGTACCCTGAGTCCCAGACCAGCTCTGACAAGAGCACCGGCTCTGGCTCTCGGAACCACGCCGCTGGCTCGGTCCTGTTCGGCCCTGATAAGGACGGCGAACCAGGGGAGTCCAGGGCTCTAGCTAAGACGTCTTCAGTCTTCACTGGTTAGCTTAACATGACTCCCGAGCCCTTTGATACATCCCCTTTTATACCCAACCCCTCGCTGAGGGGTGGAGCCCCGGGGGATCACAACGTCCGAATCAGCCCCCCCAGGGTGCCTGGCGCGGACGTCGTAGAGAGCACCTCCCCGTGCACTCACGTAGCCCCGCCCACTGTGTTCGTTTGCCATAAGCTGCCATGCATAACGGGCTCTCTCTCTAACACCCCTACAATAGTAATGGTGAGTGTGGTGTAGAATGGTGAGTGTGGTGTAGAATGGTGAGTGTGGTGTAGAATGGTGAGTGTGGTGTAGAATGGTGAGTGTGGTGTAGAATGGTGAGTGTGGTGTAGAATGGTGAGTGTGGTGTAGAATGGTGAGTGTGGTGTAGAATGGTGAGTGTGGTGTAGAATGGTGAGTGTGGTGTAGAATGGTGAGTGTGGTGTAGAATGGTGAGTGTGGTGTAGAATGGTGAGTGTGGTGTAGAATGGTGAGTGTGGTGTAGAATGGTGAGTGTGGTGTAGAATGGTGAGTGTGGTGTAGAATGGTGAGTGTGGTGTAGAATGGTCAGTGTGGTGTAGAATGGTGAGTGTGGTGTAGAATGGTGAGTGTGGTGTAGAATGGTGAGTGTGGTGTAGAATGGTGAGTGTGGTGTAGAATGGTGAGTGTGGTGTAGAATGGTGAGTGTGGTGTAGAATGGTGAGTGTGGTGTAGAATGGTGAGTGTGGTGTAGAATGGTGAGTGTGGTGTAGAATGGTGAGTGTGGTGTAGAATGGTGAGTGTGGTGTAGAATGGTGAGTGTGGTGTAGAATGGTGAGTGTGGTGTAGAATGGTGAGTGTGGTGTAGAATGGTGAGTGTGGTGTAGAAAGTAGTAGAGGGAGGGAGCCCTAGCACAGCCCACCAATCAGCAGAGAGCGTGTGGTGGTGTGTCACGTGCTTCTTCAATAGCGGGAGGGTCGCCATTGCTGCTGTTATAAAAGCTGTGGGAGATGGATGGAAGTGACGGTGGTGTTAGTGGTGATGGGGGTGGTGATGGTGATGATGATATTGACGATGATGGAGGTGGTGGCATTGGTGGTGATGATGGAGGTGGTGGTTTTGGCGGTGATGATGATGATGATGATGGAGGTGGTGGTGATGGTGATGATGATGATGATGGAGGTGGTGATGGTGATGATGATTTTGACGATGATGGAGGTGGTGGTGATGGTGATGATTGTGATGATGGAGGTGGTGGTGATAATGGTGGAGGTGGTGTTTTTGGTGGTGATGATGATGGAGGTGGTGGTTTTGGCGGTGATGATGATGATGGAGGTGGTGATGGTGGTGAAGATGGTGGTGGTGTTGATTGTGATGATGGAGTTGGTGGTGGTGATGATGATTTTGACGATGATGGAGGTGGTGGTATTGGTGGTGATGATGGAGGTGGTGGTTTTGGCGGTGATGATGATGATGATGGAGGTGGTGATGATGATGATGATTTTGACGATGATGGAGGTGGTGGTGATGGTGGTGATGATTGTGATGATGGAGGTGGTGGTGATAATGGTGGAGGTGGTGGTATTGGTGATGATGATGATGATGATGGAGGTGGTGATGGTGGTGATGATTTTGACGATGATGGAGGTGGTGTTGATTGTGATGATGGAGGTGGTGATGATTGTGATGATGTAGGTGGTGATTGTGGTGATGATGGTGGTGGTGTTGATTGTGATAATGGAGGTGGTGGTGGTGGTGATGATGATGGAGGTACCACGGGTCGACTGACTGAGATGACTGAGATGACTGGCTGATGCACCACCTGTGCCCCCTACTGTGCCAACTTGCTGTGCTTTAGCCACCCGGCGCTCTGCTCGTTGTTGTGAGCGTCGCTCCTCCACCCTCCGTTGTTGTTGGAGGGCGACTGCCTCCAACTGCCCAGTAGCGTCCTTCACGAGCCTCCTCCACAGAGGCCGATCTTGACACCGCTGGTACCAGTCATCGGCAAGTCCACTCAGCTCCACGTCCTCCTGTACCACGTCACTCCATCTCTTCTCCAGCCCGTGCCGCGCCCGTTTAGCCCCCTCGATCCGGCCGAACGAAAGCTGTTTATGCATGCGGTGGCTGGGCATGCGGGCTACATGGCCCAGCCAACAGCTTTGCCTGCCGGAGGAGCTCACCGATGGGACTTTGCTCAGATCTTTCAAGGATTTGTGAGCTCCTCACACAATCCAGCCTGCAGGTTAAACCCAGGATGGATCGTAGGCAGGCCAGCCTAAATGTTTCTAACCGGCGAAGATGCTCCATTAGGGGGGTCCACGTTTCGCAAGCGTAGAGAAGGGAGGGAATGACCGTGGCCGAGAATACCCGAAGCTTCGTGCGGAGCGACAGACCAGGTAGCTTCCACACAGCGTTACGCAACAGATGAAAATATATTGCCGCTCGACTGATTCGGAGTGAGACCTCTGCTGCTAAACTGGAGCCGGTCATGAGCACACTGCCCAGGTATGGGAAGCTCTCCACTCTCTCCACTACTGCTCCATCACCGATTGGGAGTTGTGGGGGTGGAGTGTCCGATGGTACAAAATACCCAGGCAGGTGTGCTTAGTAAGGTCCCACCTCTTAGTGGCACGCTCCAGTATCAGCAGCAGCGTCTCCAACGCCTCCTTTGAATAAGCAGCTATGTGTGTGTGTGCGTGTACGTGCGGGTACGTTTAACAAAGATCAAATATCCCCCGTATAGCCTACAGGCTGTAGGGGCAAGTGCTGTTAGCGAGCACCTATGAAGGCCGGAACGGTACACGAGGGGGTGGGTGGCCAGCACCACGCCCGACCGCCTTTGTCTCCCCAGTGGCGATGTTTACACACCGCACCAGGTACTCATTTGAGGCTGAGTCGACCTAGGGGAGGCCCCGGACCGGTTCAGATAATCGTCACTGGTGTTAGCCGTGAGCGGGAATCGAACGCGGGTCGCCAGGTTCATAGCGCAGCGCGCTAACCACTACACTACCGCTCCCAACTACGTTTAACACACACAGACACACACACACAGACACACACACACACAGACACACACACACAGACACACACACACACACGTGTCACGCTATTGGTTAACACAACCCACACTCAGACACGCCGCGTTGTTGCTAACCGGGGCGGCCCTGTTGGGTTCGAGCCGCGCGCAAACTTCCACCACCTTCCTCCACGTGTGTGATACCCTCTGCTGCCATTACCACCAGCACCTCCTCCTCCTCCCGTCAGTGATTGTGCGTGTATGTGCGTGTAAGTGCATGTGTATGTGTGTATGCGTGTACGTGCGTATGCGTGTGTATGTGTGTGTGTACGTGCGTGTACGTGCGTGTACGTGTGTATGTGTGCGTGTACGTGCGTATGCGTGTGTATGCGTGTGTGTACGTGTGTGTGTGCGTGTACGTGTGTGTGAGTGTGTGTGCGTGCGTGTACGTGCGTGTGTGTACATGCATGTGTGTGTGTACGTGTGTGTACGTGCGTGTGCGTGTGTATGTGTGCGTGTACGTGCGTGTACGTGTGTGTGTGTACATACGTGTGTAAGTGCGTGTATGTGCGTGTAAGTGCGTGTGTATGTGTGTATGCGTGTACGTGCGTATGCGTGTGTATGTGTGTGTGTACGTGCGTGTACGTGCGTGTACGTGTGTATGTGTGCGTGTACGTGCGTATGCGTGTGTATGCGTGTGTGTACGTGTGTGTGTGCGTGTACGTGTGTGTGAGTGTGTGTGCGTGCGTGTACGTGCGTGTGTGTACATGCATGTGTGTGTGTACGTGTGTGTACGTGCGTGTGCGTGTGTATGTGTGCGTGTACGTGCGTGTACGTGTGTGTGTGTACATACGTGTGTAAGTGCGTGTGTGTGCGTGTAAGTGCGTGTGTATGTGTGTATGCGTGTACGTGCGTTTGCGTGTGTATGTGTGTGTGTACGTGCGTGTACGTGCGTGTACGTGTGTATGTGTGCGTGTACGTGCGTATGCGTGTGTATGCGTGTGTGTACGTGCATGTGTGTGTGTACGTGTGTGTACGTGCGTGTGCGTGTGTATGTGTGCGTGTACGTGCGTGTACGTGTGTGTGTGTGTACATACGTGTGTAAGTGCGTGTGTGTGTACATACGTGCGTGTACGTGTGTGTGCGTGTACGTGCGTGTGTGTACGTGCATGTGTGTGTGTACGTGTGTGTGTGCGTGTACGTGTGTGTGCGTGTGTGTACGTGTGTGTAGGTGCGTGGGGAGCGGTAGTGTAGCGGTTAGCGCTACGCTGCGCTATGAACCTGGCGACCCGGGTTTGATTCCCGCTCATGGCTAACACCGGTGACGATTATCTGAACCGGTCCTGGGCCTCCCCTAGGTCGACTCAGCCTTAAATGAGTACCTGGTGCGGTGTGTAAACATCGCCACTGGGGAGACAAAGGCGGTCGGGCGTGGTGCTGGCCACCCACCCCCTCGTGTGCCGTTCCGGCCTTCATAGGTGCTCGCTAACAGCACTTGCCCCTACAGTCTGTTAAGGCTATACGGGGGATCTTTGTAGGTGCGTGTGGAT